TTACAGCGCCTAAATTAATTTACCGAAGTTCCCAGAGGAAATACACGTTGCAATAATAACTGCAAATGAAAATTCACAACACTGTTATGGAGGTGATGACAGGTGACCAGATTGTCTTCAGCACTGAAAGTGAACGAATATCGACTTCAAATCCTTGAGATTTTGTTTAGGTTATGTAAGTCGTTCAGTGGCACTCTACATTACATATCTCGTTAGTTCTAATACTTCTTGTTAGAAAAAATACTGATCCACAAAACGACTAGTTGCAAATCCCGCTTAGTCGAGTTGGCAGTTTCACTAATGGGGATATGGACAAGAGATGTGGCTTTAAAAAAACTTTTTTTTGTTTTTGAGCGATTGACAAATTGTGTGGGATCCAACGTGAACAATTTTTTTTGACAGTCAAATGTTTTTGCAATATTGAATGTATGCTGGTCTCACTAATGCCTAAGGTTGTCTCAATCTCAAGATAGGTCACATGACGATCTTGCAATATCAGTTCACGCCCAGCATCAATGGTTTTCGGAGCAACAACTGATTTTGGACGACCTTCGCGAAATTCGTCTTGGAGTAAACTACAACCACGATTGAATTCACCATACCATCGATAAACCCTGGTCCTTGATGTAGCTTCATCGCCAAAAATTGAATTAAGATCATCCATGCACTGTTGCTGAGTTAATCCACATCGAAAGTAGTAAAAAATAATCGCACGTAAATGTTCATGATTTAATTACATTTTGGGGCCAAGATGAATATTTTAAGTTACGGTTAACAACACAAATAGCGCTCGTATGTCAAAACGTTGTAAGTGCTTATAACATCAAAACATCCAACTTTACGATAGAGCTGTCAGTTGCCAGATTGTAACACTAGGGTTGCCAAATCCCGAAACATGAAAGGCAACCTTCGTATCAGCGGAGCCCAAAACCTGTATTTCCTTTAAAATCTCGACATTGATTTTCCGCAGCATTACATAACTTTCCCTATACATATTACTTTATATACATACGTACGTATACGGCCACAGGAACGTAAAAACAACTAATATCCGCGCAGTTTTTCATGAGACCCGATTTTGCTAGATGCAGGTGTGGGAGGGTTGGTTATTTTGTCAACAGAACTATCATACCAAATCTGTAGCTCGTTTTACGATGCAAAATAATTTCTATTACTGAGAGTGATCATTTCAGTTAATCACATTTTGTCAACAACACTTGTTGCTAACATTTATTTTTAATTCAACTAATATTAGCAAAGGGAAGGGGATTAGTGTTCTGGTGCTAAAGAAAATGTGTATGTATAAAATCCGGAACTACAAACAATTTCAAGGGGTAGGAGAACAAATATTTTGCCCCCATCCGCTGAAAAAGAAAAAAAGGATTGCCACATATAGATAAATCAGTTTTTAATATTAAAATCTGACTAAGAATTAAGAAAGAAATTAAATACACAAACTGGTAAACAAATGGGGGTAAAGACATTGACGTTGAATGAATGATGAAATCATATGAAATTATGAATCAAAATACTACACCCTATCTTTATTATCACTATGAAATATCATAATACATAAACAAAAAATGAATTATGATTATTGGATCATTTCAGTCATCTGGTAAATGTTGATAATGGCCACAGTTCACTGACTAAAGTAAGGCATTTGTCAGAGGGTGAGGTATCTCGTGTGTTTGTGAGAAATATTTTGTCACAAACACATTTTGGACTAAAGGGAATTTTATGTAAATCGAGAAGGGCTATTTTTCCAATTTGAAAATGCACGGTAGTGTTGCAACCTGCTGAAAATTCATCCACAGGAAATCCTAGAAGGTATTTGCTGTCCTGAATAACACCAGAAGATGGCAATTATTGCCAACCTCAAAAAATACTGAAAACCCACTATTAATTTAACAAATTATGTTTTAAAGAAAGAATAGTTCTACAATATGCTTTTAATGATTTGGTTTTTAATTCAACATGTTTTATATCTTAAAAATTTGTCCTCTCTTCTTATTCTCCTGACTTGAATATTTTACTCCACTGACATTCCAAAACACTTCAGAATTCAGAACATTACTATCTAATTACATTACTCTAACTAAACTGAACTTTACTGGAACTAATTTCATTGACAGTAAGAAATATTGTCACTTTTATCACTTCTCCTTCTCAAGTTTGTGAACACTAAAGTACTACATATTCACCATTCAAATGAAATGAAACATACTTGATTGGTTTTAGAGTAGTTCAACAATTAGTTGATACATTCACAAAATAACTGTTGAAATAAATGAAAACAGAAGTCTACACAATTCCATGCTAAAAGTTATGTACCTGTCAATGGTGCCTAAAGGCACCAATTTCCCAAACAATGCCCACCTTTGGTACTGTGAGGATTAATATGGATTAATTAAAGACAGGTGGGAGATAGCAAAAGAGCGAACACTGTCTTGAGATTCTTGCATTTGTTTACTCGAATAGCATGCAAGGGAGCTTCAATTCAAAATTTTTGAGTGTAATTGTGGGCAATTGGGAATAGCTGATAGACGTTTTTGATACCATAGTTTGCCCTGAACAGTCTGACTTATTCTCGCAGGCAATTTCAGGCAGTAATGTCTTGTGACATTTTATTTGACAGATATCCTGTTTGATTGTTGGCAGAAGAGGCCATTGGAGGAACAGTACTATATATCAAAAGTAAGGCCAATAATGATATAATAAGAACCAAAAAGTAGTGTCCTACTATATTTGAAAAGGCTCACAAAACAACATTCACCTCACATACAACAAGTACAACTCCCTTTCTGGGGATGAATGTGTTCAGATTTATCAATCATATTTTATCAAATTTTGGACCGCATGTCAATGGAAATTATTGAGAAAAAATTCAATTTATTTGCCTTACTGATGGCACAAAAGTTGAAGAACACAATACATGCTTTCCTGTTAGTGCCCTTGAAAAAATGCAAAATTTCTTTGGATCTGTAATCCCCAAAACACACCACTAAAGAAACAAAGTCTCTATTTAATATGAAAAAGAAAACTATAGGCAGATTTCTACAGGAAAGATGTTTGAAATGCTTAATGAGGGTAAGGACATTTTATGGACACTTACAAATTTTTCTCCCTCATTCTGTCCACCTCTACTACAGCATCTGTGAGAAGAATCTTTACTTGTCTGAAACATTCTTCAGGACTGCAAACTTCAGGAGAGAAACTTTCTTCTTAGGGGAATCTTGAAATTCAGAAGGAATTTCTACTGCAGTTAATAAAGACACAGCCATTCTAAGAAGACATCACAGACAAGTTTGCAGTCTTGAAGGTCAAAGATTGATTTGGTATAAAAGAAATAGAATAGTCATTAAGATAAGCACATGCAAATTTATTTTTTCACACTAGTTTTTCACCTAACTTCACAGCTACGATTCGGCAATCATCTATTGCAATTCATCTGGAAACTGTTCTTTTCTACCTCATTGTTCTGAAGTAAAATGGTTTTCAAAAGCATCATAAAATAAGAAATGTGAATAATTTGAACTCGTTTAAGAAAATAAGATTTTAAGCACTCTCTATTAAATTATTTTTGATGTGTAAAATAACAAAATATTGAATTAACCTGGTGATTAACAGATCAAATACAGAGATTTGACTTGAATCCTGGAGATGTTACTCTAATCCTCTTCTTTCTAAAACTAAACTTCTTGAAATCTGGAGATACACTTCTTCCCATACCACATCACAGACAGTTATTAACAGTTTTTGATATTAAATAAATAAAGAAAGTGGATAAAACCTGAAGTGATAACTCAAGTGGCAAACCATCAACTGAGTTTTATTTTGAGGTCAGATGGAACAATTAAATAAATAAATAAATTTTACACTACCTCTTATAAATACCTCAATATAAAATATAGTATTTTTCTGTACAGTGGACAAAAGAACAATTGTGAAGTTACACCAATTTATAATACATATAGTCTCCATACATAAATAAAAATTGATGACTGTCCCACTGGAACTCAAAACTACACCCCTTGTCTTTCACTAGCCTTAAAAGCTTCCCTCCAGCAATCTCCTCACCATTTATCACATTATCTATAATTCTCATACCATAACACAATTCACTTTAGCTAATCACCTCACATTGGTTCATGTGCAAACCATTCAGCTAAAACTGAAAGTGTACTTCAAATATGTTTCTACTTTCGAGTTTATACATCCATTTTGGAAACAAAACATTAACCCATTACTTAGCCACATTCAGACAATAAAAATTCGAAGAACAGCGTTTATATAAATTAATTACATAATTAAATCAATCTATATGTAAATAAAAGGGAATGTGTGTACATGTGTCGCACATAGATACAAAAACTAAACGAGTGATTTCCCTGAAATATTCACTTTCTTATTATCAGTAATGGGAGTGTTAGAAGAGTGTGTTTTAAATTAAATCGGACATGTAGAGCGCGTTGATGTTCGTTGATGTTCTGTTAGTTTATGACAAGAAAAGCGCCTCTTAACACTACACAATCCGCCTCACAGCCAAGGATTAAGCCAGTTTTCATTGCACACAAGTATTCTGCCCCTGCGATTAGGAAATATCAGCCGGAATTATTATTTGAATCTTGGCCAAGTAAATCAAATTTCTCTACAGGAGTGTAATAGCAAACACATGCTCAAATTTGAGGAGAAACGTTTTAACAGTAGAATACTTGACAATTATGTCCAAACCAGAGAACAAGCCCATACTTGCGAGAAAGTATTTCATCTATAAGAAGTTCTGCATAGTGTCACAAAAAACGTGATTAACAATCACATGCCTAGTAGTGAGTGATGTGTAATACACTGCAATACCAAAGCATTGCTGGATCCACTCATAAATAATAAAAAAAATACACTACCTCTTCTTAGATTTTGTTTTGAATTCAACAACAATGAAATTCAAAATGAAATACAGGATTGTTCTGAACAGTGAGAAAAAAAACAAACAACAAATGTGAAGTTACACAAATTTATATTTGGAATGTTTCCATTCTGAAACATGAACATAAAACTAATACAAATAAACAACATAACATTTTAAATGCATAGATTTCATCGTACTAACTGCTACTATATAAACAGTTGATAAAGTAGATCCAACATGAAATTATAATTTAGAAACACCTTCCAACATTACAGACAAAACTGAATGTTAAATCAAACAAAATGGATTAATTACACAGTTACCATCACTTTACTGGTGCATATTCTTTTGCCAATCGATCAAATTCACTTTCTTTTTGGAGATAGTCTTTAACAAATTGATGTTCTGTGTGGCAGTCCAACAGCTGACTCAGGAATCTATTAGAAACCTGCAAGTTCAAACCAAAATCATATGCAACTAAATATATTATAAAAATATAATATAATAGTTTGTTGTAACTATGACCTACATCCAACTTTTATTTTCAAAAATTAATAATGAATGTTATTTTTGGCTTTATATCTCTTTAATCAGTTATGTTATGAATGATGCAACATTACATCACAGCTAAACCAATGCTTCTATGTGGTTCAAAAACATGGATAATGATAGAAAACAACAAGCAAAAAATACAGGCAGTACAAGACACTCCCAAAACACCTCCTAGGAGTCACGAGAAGAGACAGGTTGAGAAACAAGGACATCAGAAGAAAACTAGAAATCAAAAAGCTAATAAAAGACATTGAGATGGAAAGAATACTTCTGCAGTATGGAGAGTAATGGATTACCAAAACTCATCTGGAAATATAAACCTATTGAAAACAGAGACATTGGAACATGTTTAAATAGATGAAAAAATCAGGAACATCTACATGATTAATCTATGTCTACTGAACCAGCACAAACAAGAAAAAGATCATACCTAAACACCTTCAATTCATGATGATGATGATGATGATGATGCAATATTACTCTTTAATAGGTAGTATTATTACAAATGTTGCTTAGTTGATTTTAGTTAATAGTTCAGTCATTCACGAAAAACTTTTTCTTAGAAAATATAATATGATATGTAAATATAATATACAAAAGATTATAAAATATAATATGAAAATATATATAAATTTGTTACTGACAGCTTGATGTATGTGAGAGCATTGAGAGTGAAAGTGTGACACACGGTATCTTTGTTTGCCATTACCATGTAAATTTTGTCTTCTTCACAAAGCTGCTCTCTCATCAATTGATTGTATTTCAATTCAAAACTCATCCCAATCCCTCCCTTGAAACTGAAGGAGATTCTAATTATAAATTACCCTTGCAGAGGAGATGTAGGGCGAAGTGCAAAGGCAGCATTGGCACACCTATTAAAAATGACTTATCAGGATAATTTATTTTAACTTCATTTTCTTCTGACTCTTATTTGTAATAAAATATTGAATGTAATTACATAAAAATTGTTTTTATTGTTTTTGTTTTTAAACTGTTTGTTTCCACTTTTCTCTCATGATCAAAATAGCACTTACTAATAAAAGCATTTTTAATAATCAATTTAAAAAACCAACATTAAATTTTAGTTATCTCATTATTTGACATTCAATGTTCGAGTACCTGTTGCACTTCCCTGAATTCGGCGCTGTTGGTGTATTACATATTTTGGAAGTAAAATCTAGTTAATATGAGAGTGATGAATACTATGCTTTGTTCTTGATATCAGAGTAATTAAAATGATCATTTCAAGTGGAAACTGAGATAGGACAGACACTGACACTAAATAACCTTTGAAAAGTAGCATCATTTGCCGAATTGCTTAACTATGCTCTGTGAAGTCATGGTAGTTAAGCAACTCAAGACACCAAAGATGCAATGAATAAATTACTAGTTTAGCACAGCATGTTGATGTCTATATGATGATAATAATTATGATTATAATCATAAAAATAATCATTGTGATAATGAAAATGAAGGAATATCACTCACTCTCAACTCCCCTTCCCTAGGGGAACCCTAATAAATTGAGAAACATTACAAGTCTATGGTAACAATTGATCATACAAGTCACTGAACAGATGAGAGACAGGAGTCTTGATAAGGCCGTTTTAAGATAAATTCAGATCAGGTTCTGAATATTATGATAGCTCACATCACAACCATGGTTGAATACCGTGGAGACTACTCTCATCAGAGTGGTAGAAGGAACCTAAACCTGCCATTTACTGATGCTTCATAAGTCATTCAATGACAACTGATCTCTGTAAATTGATAATATCAGCTGGAATACAAAACCACCATGAGGATGCCGATTTATAGCCAGAAAATAAAAAAGGACCACAGACAATCCAGAGGGGCCAAAGATGAATTAATCATTGACAAGATTATTACATAGAATGCAAGAAGAAGATTGATTGAACTTGCACATCTGGATATAACTCTCTGCCACACAGCTAGAAAGTGCAGAGTTGAGGTATACATGAAAGATCATGAAGTTCCTAAAAGCATTTATGCACCTCTGGAACACCTGAATTGTTGATAAGGAAACCCTCTTAGAAATGTAAGAAGACACTGATGGATGTTCAAAAAAGACTCGGTCTCTTCACTGCACTTTGCAGTGCTTTGCACTTTGCAGATTTCCCTTGCAACAGTCCTGCAGAAGACCTAATTCGCACATCATACATCATAGATTCTCCCAACTTCTCTACACGGATGTTCTGTACAGAGTTGTACAGGAAGTGTCTAGGAAGTATGAAATGGAGCAGCTGCAGTGTCTAACCGAGAGGTCCTAGGGTTCAAGTTACAACGGTGCTAAATTTTCAACACTACCTAAACAGCTGGGTTGAGTTCAGTTGCTTCTGGGGAAGAATTCTTCCAGCTGGCTGCTCTGATCAGTAAATTACCACTGATTTCCCTGGTCAATACCAGGCAAATGCTGAATCAGTACCTTAACAAATGGGCCACAGACAGTTTGATCATGACCTTTTCATTCTCAACCTCACTTCTGCAGCCCCTACCACACCTTGCACTAGAATAGGTCCATAGAATTACCAACACTAGGAATATCAAACTTCTAGTCAATATAAAATAGGCCGTGAAGGAGGTATTCACATAACTAGGCCTTCAACAGGCAGCAGATATCTGACATCCACAAGTTAAGGTCACCTTCTCCTCCTCCTCTGATTCAAGATCCATGTTCAAAAGTTTCACAGAACCAAACTCAACAGTGGAAATCACGTTGAGACTATTAAAAAAATGGGCATTATCCCAACAATGAGAGGGTCACACTAAAACAAACAAAACAGAGGAACACTTTTGAAACTGAATGAACACAGAGGTGGATAATATGGATCACCACACTCGAAAACTGATGACAAACCGTTGCGTACTCGCACATTGCAAGCAATGGCAACAGACTATCTCTCCCATAAATCAGAAGGCCATGGACATCAGCTTACAATTCATACAGAGAAGCGAACACTAGCAGAATACATCTGAAATTCAAGGGAGACGTAGCTCTTCAAATTATGAAAGGAGGGTATCCTTAAGTCAGGAAGTGCTTGATGTAACAGTACAGAGAGGGAACATCAGGAATACCAAACAAGTTGGGTTGATATGTTGCTCTTCAGGCAAAATTTCAAGTACTTAAGGATAGGGGGAAAACTCTCATCTGAGGTTGGCTATTAAAGAGACTGAAATTCCTAGCAGCTCACAAATGTGCACAAACTGAGGTCTGCAGTACGTAGCACAGACTGATTATATTCAATGCCATGTCTATGCCACTATTTATGCTAACCTGGATTTTTTTAAGTACCCCAACGTACCTCTGGAGGTTTTCCACTGTGTTGGGACAAAACAATCATATTAATAAGAGAGTCCGGACTATTGCTATCTTTATCCATGGACTCCTGCAGAGCAGCCTCAGCTTCCTCGTGTTTTCCTTGACCAAGGAAGCACACAGCCTGTCCATTTAGCAGCAAAGGAGTGCTGCCATATTTATCACACATCTCTTGGAAGATATAATAAGCATCTTGCAATTTCTCTCCACCCTAAAAGTGATGAAAAAGACAATTAAATATTATAAATGTAACAAATAAACAGCATATGTTTAGTAAAAAAGAGAAAATGAATACTATTTACCATAAAAATATTGACCCATGCTTGTGCTAATTGGGTTAATGTGGCATCATCATCTTTTTCCTGCATGCATTTAAGTTCTTTGAAGGCAAGATCAACCCTATCCATTCTCAAATAAATTTGAAGACTTAATGCAGAGCTGAAAAATTGAAAATTCACTTAGGAAACTCCAAGTTACAATATCAATTCTAAGCTGTTACTTTTCATCTGATATTTTACATACATATTTCCTCTTTAGCTATGAATAATATATTAAAAGACTACAATAGCAATCTTGTACACGTCTGGAAGTCTCAATTTTCCTTCCACATTGATTTTCTTTCAAATTAAAAGCCAAAAACAGTTATCTTGTGTACCCTGCCTACTACTTTTACACAGAAAACACTTCATACCTGGAAAAATGAAGCACACGAGCCTGATTTTACCAGTTATATAGCAGAAAGTACTTGGTGAATTTCCATATTTCAGTGCTTTCTTTGCTCAATACACACATACTTTAATATTTTGCATTGTGGTGTTATGATCTTAACTTTAAGATACGCTCCATAGATCTTTCAAAAATCATAAACGACTTGAACATTATGTGTGTCACAAACTTTTAAATTAACAAAGAACTTATATACGTTTGTAGTGGCTTCAAAAACATTTTCTATTCATTAATAAAAGCGTTACAGTGAAATAGAAAACATATTGCATTCCTACACACAACATCAACAACTAGGCTTATTTTCCGAATACATATAGAAATTTTCTAACCTCTTGCATTCCACAAAATTTTCAGCGAGCACTGTGCACAGCAAACTGGAGATAAAATAGCCACTTAAAAACTTGAGATAAAATAGCCACACACACTGGAGACACTGTACTTGACTCAAAACCTTGTACTTTGTAGAAAATATTGACAAATGATTTACTACTGTGCTTTTAGCCCTTCAAACTTCTGTTCCACTTCCATTCACGAAGCGCTGCCTACCAAGATATTGAGTCCTCCCTCCTCAAAAGCGCTCCCTCAAATTACGCTACACACTCTGATAGAAATGAATAAAACTTACAGATAGACAATTTTCGTGGCTTGCCCTTCATACGCTTTTCCCCCTCCGCATTGTAATGCCAATTAACTTTCAAAGGCAAGTTTTCTCACTTTGCTCACTCAGATCCAAGTCACGTGAGGCTTGAGCTTTTAGCCCTCGCATTCACTATAAACATCCTTGAGCCTATCCTCCGCATAATTACCAATTCACTTTTATAAAAAACTCTTTTCAAGACAGCCTCCAGAATTCAAACTGCGCAGTTGCTACTGGAACGGTATGAAGTGCTAGTTTAAACGCCTTCTGTAAGTTGTACCGTATACTAGACATCAGCCAGGTTATCTTTCAAATTGATACGCACTTACCACTCAAGATGATCTGCTTGATTCAGTAACCGTAAAGCTGCATCAAAATTTTCTTCATGATAATATACAGTTGAAGCAGCAATCATAAAATTTATATTTGATGCATCCACGTTTCCAGCAATTTGTTGATCGAGTTCAGATATTAAAGTATCTCTGAAATCCATCACATTATTATTTTTATTATTAAAAATTAAGTAAATAACATAGAAGAGAAATGAAATTTACTGCAATGATTTTAACAACTTTTCTGACTCAATAATTATGATTAACAAAGCGAGTGACAATGCAATAATTACATTTCAAAACAAATGAGACGCAATCCCACTTTAAACAACAAAATGTTCTGAATGGTTCAAAATGTTGTGATTGTGAATGAAACAGTTATGTATACCTTTAGAAATAATTACGTATATGTCAGAAAAAGATCAGACCGATTCATTTTATTCTCTTGTGTTAAAAGTATTATTGTGTTCACTATTTATATAATTCTTGAAGATTTCCAAAAGAAAACCTGGCACGATGAGTAAGCAGATGCAAATCCACAGGGAAGGAAATGAGGGAAATTTCCCCCCTCCTAAAATTTTTCAGTTACTATTAATTTTACCTGTCACAAAACTTTCAAGCAAAAATATTTTTGGATAATCATTAAAACAAATAAAATCGTATCGCAGTATGAGCTGAGCGTAGTCTCTGACATTTTACAAAATCTGTAATATGACACATTCAACCAAAACATTTTTAATTTTCTCCCCAAAATTTGTCTCTGGATCTGCTCCTAGTCAGAAATTTCATTTATAAATACCTCTTTGCTGGATGGGCCAGGTAATCGGCGAGGAATTTCAAAGGCTGTAATTCTAAAGGTGATGCTCCATGAATTTCATCCAGTACTACACGATACTTCTTCTGAGCAATGTAAGCTCTGTACAAAAATGAATCCCTTTCCAATTGAGCTGCTGGATTAGAAGGCTGTACAATATAAACAAAAAAAAAGGTACCTTTGAATATATTTCATGAGTCATGCAATTCAGCTTCAATACATCATGCAATCTTACAATCTAAAATGTCAAAATACTTGTATAGTGTTTTTACCTTCAGCTTTTGAGCTTCATTGATGCAATTTTGATAATTACCAATATAAAAGGAATTTTTCACGTCAAATAATTCGTCGACTTCACCTTGTGGACGAGCCATGACAATTTTCCTTCACTCAACAAAAGTAGATATTCAGAGGAATCCAACTCAACTTTTTTGGCTGATGGGCTGATAGACGTGGATGGAATCAAAGAGTATACAGTGGTACAGAATGTGGAACACAAACTCAGAGAGTATTTAAGGGCACAGGTGGGTGCAGGTGCGCTTCAGTACTGCCACACTATTCAACTGTCACACAAATTGAAAGACCGGGCTAAAAAGTACCTAATTTATGACCGTGTTGTATTAGGATTTTTGAAGGATTTTTAACTTTGAACAAAGCTGCTTTGTTCTGTAGAATTATAAGAATAACAACTTGTTGATTTGAATGATGTAGTTGGGTTACTCCGTGGCAGTTCGTCTTCGTAGTTGCACAATTATAATTTTGTTCAGTCGTATGCGCAGGAAAAGTGGGATAAATGATAGATGAGCAGGAAACTGTTGGATAAATGTCATCAGTTTTCGTACTGTGCAGTTCATCCGAGAAAGTTTCTGCATTGCAGTGTTAGTGAGAGCAACTTTCATATATTTAATATACGATGAGGGTCCACTTTGTTTTTCTTAGCATTTTTGTGTCATTAATCATGTCGCAAAGTGCGAATGCAAATAAATACTCAGCAGAAGCGAATATAAAAGCAACCGAGCCGGAGATGAACTTCAGGACCTTGCAAAAACCATTTAGAATGTCAAAACTCAACTTACTGTGGGCAAAAGCACAGCATGTAAGTTTTAGACAATTCAAATAATAATAATAATAATAATAATAATAATAATAATAATAATAATAATAATAATAATAATAAATTATTATAATAATAAATTATTATTATTATTATTATTATTATTATTATTATTATTATTATTATTATGACATTTTTATACGCACACACTCATTCTTAGAGAAAATAAAATCTGTTGAAAGTAAATTTCTGTCATAATAATGCTTTATGTACGTATAGAGAGAGAGATCTATTGTCATTCACCTTGACAATATAGAAATAATTTGTTTAGAGATTAACTGAAACCAAGTTAAAGTCACTTTTTGGAGAGTTGAAAATTCATGACAAAGAAGAACTTGCATTCAAGAAAATGAAAGCAGAGGGCTTGGATAAAGATGGTATGCAAGAAGCTGTTATGAGAAAAAGATTAATTGGTGAGTAAGTTGGCAAAAATTGGTTGCATTTATTTTATCATGAAACTAATGGTAGTGCATTGCAGGTATTATGAGCACATATGGTCTTCTGGAACATTTTCAAGAATTAGAGGACCCAAGAAATCAAGGTCAACACAAAGCGTTTAATGCAGACTCAGAAGATTATATAAATAAAAGTTTATTCAAAGACAAAAAATTAAATAAACTGTGGGAGAAAGCAGAACAAGCAGGTTTCACAGGTAAAACATTTGCCATTGTATTACAGTATTAATCTATCTGAAGGTAGGTTCAATCTTCAGTGCATTACCAAATTGTTGTGCCAAATAGGCATACTAGGAAATTTGAGGTAAGTGAGGTAGTTTTCCATTTCTTTCATAAGCAAGCATGCTAAAAGAGCCAAACACATACTAGACCTGCATGTAATGCCTTTCACAGCACAAATGGCATTACTTAGCTCCATCCATAACCTAGGCAGCATCTGCCCTAGTCGTAGACAGCATTATTTTTAAGTGACAGTTTTCTCTTGCCCCCCACCATGAATCGAACCCATCTCCATGCGCATGGAAAGCAAACGTGCTAGACACGTTTGAACTATCAGGAGATGATTTATAAGTATTAGAATATTAATTATATAAAATGTTTGTAACATCTTAAATATTTACAGCATCAGAACTCAAAGCTCTGAGAGAAGAATTCAATCATCATCAAGACAAGATAGATCAATATTATTCTTTGCTCAAAGAAGTTGAGGGAGGTCCTGATAATGAACATGAAAGTATGCAGTAGTTCACTGTTAATTATTTCTCTTATTTACTGGTGTTTGTAGTATAGATATCAATATTTTAATTATGTTGTAGATTCAATTGATAATAAACTGGATCGTTTTAATTCATTGGATGTTCAAGAAGAGATACCCTCAAAAGATTACTCGAGTCAAGTAAATTCTTTGAGGTAAGTATTTTTTTCGTGTGTAATATCAGAGTAAAATGTTAATATCTGATGAAAATTAGTATTATTTAGAGCAAGATTGTTCCAATGACAAGAATTTGTGGCAGACTGCCTCGGGCCTTACACTTCACTATAGAGCCAAGTAAATACTGAGCCTTCCCCTCTCCCTCCTAATGACTTACTCGACAAGCAGTAGGCCACACTGGTTGCCCACAGATATAATTGGAGCAGGGCACCCCAAGAGGATTGTACATTTGAGCAGCCCTAATTTAGAGGAACGTGGTATGATAGTTGATGTTTTTGTGCCTTATTCAAAGTTACAGGCAATATTCTGTACTTTTTCAGATATTCAAAACCAAAACTATGAACCAGACTCGCTAGATATTGAAACATTTTTCATATGTTAGATTTTAGGTTACAAGGATGCAAAGAAAGTTGTGGGAGTAATTGTTAGCTTAAGAGAAAATATTTTATATTTTCATGGCATGTTACAGGGATCAACATCGCGATATTCGTGATGGCTATGATAGACTTCACCGAATAGCTGCTAGAGGACCCAATAGCAAGGAATTTATAGAACCTAAAGTGGAAGGTCTTTGGAGATTAGCTGTTAAATCCAACTTCACTCCTAGTGAATTGGAGTCTTTGCGGGTGAGATATGGTGTTCTTGTGATGATTGTTGTTACTGTCGCATGTGCTATCACCTACGACAAAAGTGCTAAAGAAAAAGCTCTTAATTCTTCAATTACAACTGGACCATGCAAAACCACCATGAGATAAAACCTTTACAAATGTTCTAATGTCAAAATAAACATTTGTTAATACAGTAGTTTGATAAAAAATATTTTATTAAGCTTCTACAATATGTGATTTGGGAGAGTTGCAGCAAGTTCATCTTATAAAAAGGGCAAATGAGACTGAAAGATTTAAGTAACTTAAAATAGGTTTAAACTTATTAAGTATATTACTTTTGTCAGGTGCATTTTACTCTGTTTGTAAAGAGACCCTGTAGAAAATTTGATATTGCTAATGCTATTTTTTTGTATTAAAGGTTGAGCTTATGCACTATGAAAACCGTTTGCTGAAACTAAGACACCTGCAGGCTGAAGAAGCCCTAGGTGCTGAGCGAAAGAAAGCCAAAGCAGAATTAACCCCAGGAGAGAAACCTGAACATTTCCTTGATCGAGAGGTACTAATAAAAAAACAGGCTCGGAAAGTGGAGAAATTGCATGAAGAGCTGGAAAATCGTATTCTTTCACGACACAGTGAACTCTGAATGCTGTAAATTTTCTTCCTAATGAAGATGTGTTATGAAGATCTGAGCAGCTGTACATGTCTAAATATCACAGATATTTGAAAAGAAACCTACTAAACTAAAATGTAATGCAAAGAAATTTGCATTGCTCTCTTCTGCTGTGATTATAAAAACTGCTGTGTTTGTAGTAATGATGCATGTAATGATTTATCCTGTAAGCCAATCGATTGATAAGGATGAATGTAAGATCTTACAGGGCTAGTCAGTTAAGATACCAGGATGTGAAGTTATTTTTTAATACATTTTGAGGGTGGTAAAAATATAACAATTTAACATCTTGTCTTTAATACTCTAGCCTCCTGAGATCCTTACATTCATTCTTATAGTAAATTATGCATGTTACGAAAGAGTGTAATTTTTAGTATATGCTATATTGTGTTTTGATAAGTTGTTAGATTTTTTATGACATATTCAAATAAATGAAAACCTGCTGCAAGTTTTAATTTCTACACAATAATATTATGAATATTATGGTATTTGAAATTGTTTAATATGAAAAACAGTGTGATCTTAGAATGAACTACGAAATGAGAAAAACATTTCAAATTTGCATATTAATTTCCAAATGCTTTAAAATACTATCCACTTTGATTATTTAGTCACACTTTAAGAAATTTGTCTGGCTAAGTTTAGCTCAGAGCCACTGTCTCTGCGGTGACTAGCCCAGAGGTCTTAAGGCTGAAGTCCCAACAGTAGCAGATTTTTAATTCTAAGTAGATAGCTTGGTCAAATTCAGCAGCTGCATGGAGAATTCTAGCAGCTAGCTGCTCTGAACAGTAGTTTTCTGTAGTTTCTCTAACACCATGCAAATGTGAGAGCAGTACCTGATAAACCGATCACATGCGATCTTTCCTTCCTCTTCCTTGTCCTACCCTCTCACCTCACATTTACATGCAGTACACTAACACATGTTGGGAGACCAACCAACAGCTTCTGGCTGGGACAGTGCCCTACTGACAGATTTCTGGAGGAGAAAATCCCCCAGAAGCCAATGAGGAGCTCCAGCCAGTGGGGTGAAAAACCAACACCACCTCTCGGTACAAAAAGGATTCATTACACTAACAGGTCTAATGACTAGCAGTTGATGAGCCTGGAAACATCGATCACAATTTATGAAATTGAAATCACTGTTGAAATAAATAAGACTTATTACAACACACATGTTCTAATAATCCATCACCCACTTTTAACTAGAATTTTCACTTTCATAATGTAACTAATACTGACCTAATTCATCCTCCTATTAATTTTTATCAACATAAGTATGTCCCCTTTTGCAGGATGAATTCAGTCAAATTCAGATCTTATTGAGTTAGTTTTCGGTTAAATTGTCAAATCTTGTATTGTAATACAATGTTGACTTAATATACTTATTTCATTAAAAAAAAAACAACTAAAAGCATAAGTTTTCAAAATATGCATAAAATCATGGCTCACGCTGACTGGCCAAATCCCCCTAAGATTTTCAAGTCCATTTTCTAATATAATTTCTTACTGTTAACATAAGGTATAGACAAATTTGAGAATTTGGTAACCACTCCTTTTATGCAAACTACATATTAACTATACAAAAAGTACCCATCAGTATGCTTTGGGGGCTAGCGTTAATGGCACTCCCAACATCCACTTCAACTTACTTCAAAAACTGAATATGTACTAGATTTTTTTTTGTAATTTTTACTTAAGATTCTGAAGTTAAGAAACAGCATCACACAGACATGATTCAATTATGTTATCTGCCAGATAAATCAAGTCCCAATGGACCTTCTCAATCTACATGAATTAGTAGCCAGATTTATAAATTTATTGCAACCAGTGGTCACCACAGGGCAATCTTTGGTTCAATCAGAATTACAAAATTAGTAGTATATGATAGAGGTTAAAATGAATGAGAATAGCTCATTTCAATACAAGTGTTGAATAGTTATCACTGTGTTTCAGGGTGTATTGTTCACTAGCTGCAACATAACTCAAAATTTTTTAATCTGCCATGTGAACCTTGTGAATTTCAAAAAATTATTTAAACAGTATGGGTTAAACTAATATCACTGTAAAACATTTCTTTTGATGTCCCCCCAAACTTTTACATGCCAGAGTCACCAATGCATAACATTACTGAAGCAGAACCGACCAGGGGCCCCAGAGAAAACCCTGAGCCTGGGGCAGTTGATCCAAGGGGTCCCTCATTTCAAACAAAACATTCCTCCTCCCCCAATTCATAAACAGAATTCATTTCTCCATGCATCAGAAAAAAATTGCAGCATTAAATTTGGATGAAAGATGAATAAATACATTTTTTATTTCTTGTGAATGAAAATATCAGGGGTTGGAGTACGTTACCCTAGCTGCCAACCCCCTCCCTGCCTGGTTGCCCCTGCAACAGACTATACATTCATGCCATGAAAGAAGTAGCAACAGCCAGAAAATCTTATTTATAATTTTCCGCCTGTAATAAATTATGCATCATCACTTCCTTTTAACATCAAAAGAAAAGTCTTGGAGAAGAATGAATACAAAATGATTCAAAGAGCAAATGGAAAATTAATTGGTTACCATCTAAACTAAAATTTAATAGTAATGGCAAAAAAAGTAACAATGAGATTTTAGGTGTGCAGGCTTCAATATTGACTTGTGATATGTGATTATTCAATTAATGGAATATGTTTATTCAATGTATTTAGAATGAGATTATTCAATATATTGATGTGTCAACCCACTGAATGGAAATTGAAACAAAATTATGTAATTCAAAATAATATATTTATTCCATAAATATTAACAAGGTTTTCATTGGTAAAAATATCAATAATTTTGAAATTATGTTTATCCATCACTTTAAAAAGTACATTCAATTTTATATAAACCAAATATAATCCCAGACAATGACTGTAAAACTATAAGTGCAAAAACCAATTTACATGATACAAGAAACACTATATATTCTGTTATAATATCAACAAAATATTGTTTTCCAATAAATGAATTTATGTAGAAAAACGAATTGTCATACAACTGTTTGATTGATCTGGCTCAAATGCAAAATCAAGACTCTGATAAAATGGTATTAATTTATCTTTGCAATTCAATGTAATTTTATAACAACCAATGTGTTCTGCTAGTAGACAAACAGTGATAACAATTAATTTACCTAATTGTTTGCCTCTATAATTGTCATTTATTACTACATCTTCTAATAAACCTCTCAAGCCAGAATCATGGACAAACTTCTGTTCCACCACTAATGTTGCTGCTCCAACCACCTTGTTGATAGTTGTGTCTTCTATTACTATTACATAGTAAGTACCAGAACATTTTTTCATTGCAGTAAATCGCTTCAAAAATGTTTCTTGATCAACATACCCCACTTGTGTTAACTGGCCGAGCAACTCCAAAATGCCTTTGTTATAATCTGATGAATAAAGCGGCCGAACCAGAAGCGATGGGCCCGGGTCCATAACTGATATTGAAGGATTCAATTTCGAAGAATGTTGAGAAAAATCCAGTTTCTTCAGAACATCAGGATCAAATAATGGTTCATCATCTGGCGCCGTACTATGTTTAACAGGATCCATAGTTTAAACTTACAATATGGTTTCTTCAATAAAAATTCGTAATGCACTGAGCACTAGCACTCCGACAGGTGTCAGTAAGACAGATGGCACATGTTATCTCAATCTTTTATGACAGCAACGCGCTGTTTCCTGTAAATGAATTGCGTCAGAGACAAAGAATTCAGCTGCCATTCACGACTTCAAATCCGAGGAACTTTGATGGATTTTCATCTTCATCCAACGATAAAAGAAAACGCCTAACAGACTGTAACGAACACGCGTCCAGGCAGAGTGCATTGTCTGCTTTCTAACAGCAGTTTCATTCACAATGTATTGCTTAATAATCATCAAAGCGATAGTCGTCTACACATATCCTCAATCTTGATAAAGGAGAATATTTTAATTTTTAATCATGAAAATTCAAATTCGGATATTATTTTCATGATCAGTGAGGTTTAGTGCCTGTAAGCTATCATTGTACGGAAGTTATCTTGTATTCCAATTAGCCGCGTCCGTTCGTACTTCAGAAAATGGAATAGGTCGGATCGGGTAATCGAGGTGCATGGTTTTAGCTCCATATTCAAATGGTAGAAAAGTTGAACAATTCATGCAATTCGTTACGTAACCAAGCAAGGCAGGTACAACTTGCCTTTTTCTAAATCCATGAAAATATCATGACTGTTTCTGTTGAGATTTGTTCTTACAGAAAATAATGTGTAGGCCTACTTGTATTGAAATCTGTAATATATAATATACCGACATTACAAACTTACGCCTAAACGTAATACTGTTTTTAGCACGCTGAACATGCCCGAAAAATAACAGTAAAAGTATAAAGCAGGCCTACTAATGCACTAATGGCTGTCTAAAAAAATATTTCTTAACGTGATTGAGAACGCCTACACAGTAAAACTGAGTAGTAATACAGTATTACGTATAGGCCTAATTATACTCAGCTGAAAATTCGAGTTTTAGCATCAGTGCAAATAGTACGACGATGCTCAAATGTTCAGCTCAAACTGCGAATGCAACAAAGACAATAAAATACGTCTGATCACACCAGGCGCGTCCAATTTTATTTTAATTTGGTATCCGATTAAGTAATTTGCAAACTTCAATTAAAATTATGGAAAAGTCAATGAGGCTGCCTACAGTGTATGACACACACGGTAAAAGTGATTTTATTTTGTTTCAACGCCGCCTGTATTAGAGGGATCTACTGTAGAAGGCATTGTTTTTGCTCGTAGAATTGCCCCACTCGGCCTCGAGTGGCAACTTATGCACAAAAAAACTACTTTTACAACTTGAAAAATAAAATATCACTTTTATCACTTTCATTACAAATAACCATTTATTAAAGACCCTGTGACGGGCAGTGGCGAATCGAAAGAGAGGGGGGGGGGGGAATGCACCCGCTCCAAGTCCGCATTATTTTACACAATTTAAAACAATTACCATATAAAATAATGCTAAAGAAAACTCTCCACAATACCAATATAACAATTACCATGTATTGATCTCGCCATACCTAAAACAGTATTGTCATTAAAAATAGTATACTCATACGTTTTTACTTTTTTTTCCCAAGCTAACAATGAAAAATAATATTAGAAAAATATTTATGGAGGTTCCTACTGAAATATTTTCTGCATCCTCTCTTGGTTAACTCACCTCTATTCTTTTTTTCATTACCTCCAAAAAGACTGAAAGAGAAAAATGTTACCTCAACTCTTTCTCCTTTATTTACTAGAAGGCTCTTGCCGAACCTCATCATTCATTGAAAGGTATGGAATGGCTTTACCAACTTATTGTTAATGAAAAACTGACAGTGATTGCTCTTTGTATCCCTATTTTAATTTAACAACTTTTAAAAGCAATTTTGATAAATAGTTTCCTGAATACCATTTACCACATAACCAGTCTAAGTTTGTACCTACAATATCAAAATGAGAAGTTAAAAAAGTGCATATGCTAATAAGAAAAACCCTAAACCTTTCAATTCCATTCTAATAAATTATATTATTATTGAAAATATATTTCATTAGGATGATACATATTCACTGGTTACAGACTAAACCGTAAAGGATGATTATAGTTATGAAAACAATTTTCTTCTCATTTCCAAGAGCTGGTGAGCATTTTTGGAAAATTATTATATTTTGATGGAAATGCAGATAAAAAACTAATTATTAGAAAAATCCTAATGTTGTTTTGAGACTTATATGTCAGAATCTGTAGCATAATAAACAAATCATTTGTTAAATAAAAATGGTTCGCAAATTTTGGATTAACTGACTCTATTCAAAAACAGTACCAATTCAAGTAAAAATGGGAAGTGAATTTTGAAAAGCTTAAAAAATTCTAGCAAGTTCTTTATTTAAAATAACACCTCCAAAAGTTATAACATTTTTTTTAAATTCACAGGGGCCCGAGGTTGAAGAAAGTCACTGTGCAATATCTGTTTTTGAAAAAATCATATACTCTTTTGACAAAAATATCAATGGATGGAAGTGAAATTTCTTATGCATGAAAGATTTGTGATTGAAAAATTTTTGTTCTCACATTATCATCCATTAACAACCAACTCAAGAACTTTAATGGTCTTAAACCATTTTCTGTCAAATTGGAAGTACATCAAGTACACATAAGACACCTTCAATTTTTTCTTTTCTGCCTTGTAAGAAGGAAAAAAAAACAATAAAGGAAATGAGCTATGATTTAACAGCATATACTTTCTTGTATTATTGGTAATTATTTCATACTGGAACTTCTATCCTACTAACTACATTTCAGCCATCACTTGAAAAACTACTCACCAAATAAAGAGTGAGAGGTTCAGTAACAATCAACACATCTTTAATTTTTTAAAGATTTAAAAGTTGAAATTCTGCTACTGAATTCAGTATGTTGTGTTCTATTCTTTCAAAAGTTGTAAAATGATTTACAGATCTACTATTTAAGAATATATTTTTAATTAAGAAGAAGAAAAAGAAAAAGAAAAAGAAAAAGAAGAAGAAAAAGAAGAAGAAAAAGAAGAAGAAAAAGAAAAAGAAAAAAGAAAAAAGAAAAAGAAAAAGAAAAAGAAAAAAGAAAAAGAAAAAAGAAAAAGAAAAAAGAAAAAGAAAAAAGAAAAAGAAAAAAGAAAAAGAAAAAGAAAAAGAAAAAGAAAAAAAGAAAAAAAGAAAGAAAGAAAAAAAGAAAAAGAAAAAGAAGAAGAAGAAGAAGAAGAAGAAGAAGAAGAAGAAGAAGAAGAAGAAAGAGAGAGAAACAAAAGTATTTTTATTACTTGTGATAGGGAGCTTGTGATACTAAACCGGAAGGTGGCTTAAAAGTTCAACACATTGAAATCAAAACATCACTTGCATTAGAAATCCACATTTTCTCATGCATAAGCACCACAATTTACAGTCAATAAACAAATACCCAGCAACTATTAACTTCGTAGTGGTGGGACATCAATGACCCGGGACAGCTGGAGGGATGACTTCTAGCATGATTTTATCAAAACCAGAAGGAGGCAGATGATTGAAATTGTCCAAAATAACATCTAAGATAGCTTCATCACCAACATACAAGAAGGATACACCTGGCCACGCCAATATCAACCGACTTTCCATTCACATAGAACTTCAATTCTATGTGAAAATTAGACTTGTGTATCTACAAATGTATAATTATTTTTATAAGTGTGTATGAAGTAAAAAATTGAACACTTTTACATGATCAGGGATTCTCAAAACAAGCATTTCTGTCAAAATCTTGACATTGAGTTTTTGCAGCCCATCATAACTTGCTCTATACTGCTTACAACAAGACAGTAAATAAATTTATATATAAACAAATTCTTTCAAGTTTAGACTCTCCTGCAAAACAGAGTGAAATTTCAATTGTGTTGTAAAAACGCTGATATTTCCACTACCTTTTCATTTAAGAATACTGGTTTAATTGGGATTCCCAATTAATAATTTTCCTAATAATCCTAATTTATTTTTTTATCTGTCAAATACATGTAAGCTCTGAATAATTTGTTTAATAAGCGAGTTACACTTTTAGACCTATACTTTTAGATCGAAAGGAAACATTTTGTTTGTAATCAACTGGTAAACTTGGGTCTATTCTTTTGAACATTTTTTACTTATACTCTCTCATATAACACTTGAATTTGTGAAGAATTTGTCCCTTTTTGTTTTGAGTTGTATTTCTGGGGAAAATCTGTATAATGCGTTGAGAATATTTGATGATATCACTATCACTGTCTTTAAAACCAAAAGCAAAATTGGCCAGTAAATGAAGAAAGAAATAACAGACTAGAACATGTAATATAATTACTTAACTTAATCTTTATTGCAGCCTATTGTATTGGTACATTTTGTAGAAAATACAGGTAGAAAACAGGTTTTAACAAGAAACATGCACACAATCCATCTTGGACACACTCAATTTTTAAATAACTAAATAACTACCATATTCAAACATCAGTCTAAAAGGTTTCCTACACAGTCCAAACCCAACTAGAATATATCTCATATCCATTTTAAAAATCTGGAATTCTTTTATGAAAGAATGTGTAATGTTAGAGGACTAACCTTTCAAAATGCAATTCTTTTCTCAACTGATTTACATTAGGCATTTCTTCACATTTTGAAAATTTGACCATAATATTCAGAAATAGTCAAATTGATTGTATTTATGCATTTTGAAAGTAACTTCATAATAGCTTCAGTAAAATATTTTGAAGCTTTGACAAAGTATGTGTAAATGTAACTTTTTGAGGAAGTAAATTTTCTTTTGAACACTTCAAATTGGTTCAATCCCAGAGTTCGAACTATTTCTAAAAATTTCCACTTTGATTGCAAGAAACCAAGGATTTATAATTTGAGAAAAGATTCTTGATTCTATCAGTAAGTTACATTGATTGCTCTTTGCTGAAACTCGTAATCAGTCTTCATCATATGCAAACATTGATATAATCATAAAATGGCACACCAGAAGGAAAAGAAGTATCACATCGTTTCATTTAC